CCCGAACCAAAAGTGCACAAATTGTTTTTGTGCGAGAAACAACCGACCATGTGTGGATTGCAGGAAGCTAGACCAGTGTCGGAACCCACATCGCAGGGAGCCGACACAGGCGGCCACAGCGGATATCGCCGGGACCCAACCACCCGATGATATCCGAAATGATAGCAGTGAGTCCACTCAACCCGAAAATGTAGTACTAATAAATGCTGCTCCCTCAGTAGCAGGTGTCCACGAGGAGAATGAGAGACAGCCGCCTCAGTGGAATGGCATGTCGATGGAAAATGCAGGCGTATGAGTCAAAGAAACCTACTCAGAAATTGTCAAGTGGTCGCCTGCTAACTTATTTGAACCACCCAAATGTGTGGCCACCAAAGAAATGATTCGGGAGATGACTCGCTTCATGACTGATTACACTCAGGACCGCTTCCTCGCCCCCCTAGCTCTTCAAATACTGGCAATAATACCACATCTATTTTGTCAGAGGACACACACAAAGGCTAAGCACAAAGAAAATGTGGCAGCAATGAAGAGAAGATTGACAATGTGGCAGACTGGGGCCCTAGATGATCTCCTATGTGAAGCAAGAACACTGCAGGAGAGACTAAAATCTACGGGTGACGGAAAGCAAAACACCGATGACGTGGCAAGAAAATTTGGAAACAAAATGCGTGTGGGAAAAGTGTCTCTCGCGGTAAGATCTCTCACACAGGAATCCTCCGGTGGGGTGATGCCAATAAACAGAGAGACATTAAAACTATTGAAAGAGAAACATCCCCCTGCAAGCGAAGATGAAGGCATCAGGTTCCAGGGTGACTATATCCCACCAAATGCTGTCCTGTTCGAGAAAATAACAGGAGAGATGGTGTGGAAAAAGGCACTGAAGACTCGAGGAGGAGCCGGCCCTTCAGGTCTGGATGCAAACGGTTGGAGAGTCATCCTCAGCACAAACAAGTTTGGCCCTGTAGCAAGCGATCTCTGCACTGCCATTGCCGCCCTTGCAAGAAAGCTTGCATCCTCATGCTGCCATCACCTCCAGGCCCTGACGGCCTGCCGCCTTATTCCTCTGGAAAAGAAACCAGGATGTAGACCTATAGGGGTGGGGGAAGTGCTGAGGCGGATCATCAGAAAGTGCATAATGGAGGTGGTAAAGGACGATGTCAGGGCAGCAGCAGGGAACCTACAAGTCTGTGCTGGTCACCAGGCTGGTGGGGAGGCTGCCATTCACGCCATGAGATTGATATTTGAGCAGCGTGATTGTGAGGCCGTTCTCCTGGTGGATGCTTCAAACGCATTCAACATACTTAACCGCAAGGCTGCACTGCACAACATCAAGATCGAGTGTCCTAGCTTTGCGATGTATGTTGAAAATTCGTATAGGAATCCTTCAGACCTCTACATAGTAAACAACAAGGCTCTACGAGGTGATACCATCCTACAGTCGACCGAGGGAACAACACAGGGTGACCCCGTTGCAATGGCAATGTATGCAATTGGCCTATCAGTGCTCCAACAAGAAATAAAATTTGAAACAACTGGGGTCAAACAAGTGGCATATGCTGATGACCTTACAGGAGCAGGAAAAGTGGAGTGCATCAAAAAGTGGTGGGACCTGGTAACATCGCGAGGTCCACAAATAGGGTACCACCCAAACGCTAGCAAGTCCTTCCTCATCGTGAAGCCAGAACATTATGAACGGGCTTTGGAGGTTTTTGGCGGAAGTGAGGTCAAAATAACTAAGGACGGCCAAAGCCATCTAGGCGCTGTAATTGGCACTACGGACTTCAAGACCGAGTACGTAGCGGGAAAGGTGAATGAGTGGGTTAGCGAAATCCAAGCTCTATCTGAGATTGCTAACACAGAGCCACATGCGGCCTTTGCAGCATTCATCCATGGAGTCAAGCATCGCTGGAACTACCTGATGCGTACCATCCCTGAGATCGGACCCCTCCTCCACCCTCTGGAAGAAGCTATCAGTGTCAAGTTCATTCCCAAACTAGTGAAACACCCTGACTTAACCCCAGCAGAAAGAACACTTCTTGCACTTCCACCAAGACTGGGAGGGATGGGACTAACTAATCCAGAGGAGATTGCTGACACTGAACATCAAAATTCACTTAAGCTCACGGCAGCCCTCACTGACCACATAATAGCCCAGAATGCAACAGGGGAAGTGGACACCAGCGAAGTAAATAAGATCCGTAGGGCCATTACAACAGATCGGAAGCACTGCCAAAATGACATGTTGCAGCAACTATTGCTGCAGGTTCCAGAAAATTTGACAAAAAAAGTAGCTATAGCGCAGGAGGTGGGCGCCTCGAACTGGTTAACTACGTTACCAATAAGAGCAAATGGTTTCAGCCTTAACAAACAAGAATTTACAGATGCCATTGCTCTAAGATACGGTTGGCCAGTGGATGGTTTGCCCTCCCAATGCGTGTGTGGCTCTTCCTTTGACGGCGATCACGCCATGGTCTGCAAGAAGGGGGGGCTTCATATGCATGAGGCATGATGAGGTAAGGGATCTCACAGCAAATATGTTGAAGGAAATCTGCCGGGACGTCATGGTAGAACCGACCCTCCTTCCACTGGATGGTGAGATCTTCCAACACAGGACTTCAAACACATCTAACGATGCCCGTGTGGACGTCAGTGCTCGAGGATTCTGGACGCGGGGACAGCGAGCTTTCTTCGACATCAGGATTTTTGATCCCATGGCCACTTGTCACCGTAACCTAGCTCTCGATGCTGCACATAGGAGGAACGAGAACGACAAGAGAAGGGCGTATGGGGAGAGAATTCAAAACGTTGATCAAGGCAGCTTCACTCCTCTAGTGTTCACAACCTCTGGTGGGATGGGCCCAAGTGCAAGATGTTTCTACGCCAGACTCGCGGAGTTGATCTCCGAACAGAAGCAGCAGCCCAGAAGTTATGTTACAGCCTGGATGAGATGTCGACTGTCCTTCTCTCTCCTTCGGTCGGCTTTGCTCTGCCTCAGGGGAACGAGAGCTTCTGCCCCTACTCCGACAACTGCTGCAGATATTGACTATGAGGCTACAGTCACTGAATGCCGCATAGATCTGCGGCTCAACTAATTTAACACAGATAGGATAGCTTATTATGTATTAGGATATTTAATATTAAGGTAAATAAATGGTGGCGAAGGTGTGGCTATTGGGGGAGGCTGGAGGCCACGTTAAAAAAAAAAAGTAGTAGTAGTAGTAATAATAATAATAATAAAAAATGGCGTGGCCTTGATTGTGGAAGAAGACGGAGGGGGTTACAGAAGGAGTAGTAATATCTTCATTATCATTACGGAGGCTTCTATGGCAGCCATTTTGAAGTAAGAAAAATACACTTTATATATATAAGCAACACTGCTAATTATTTTGCTCCCGTAATGTTGATATTACGCTTTTGACTGGGATAAGTTATATCTTCTTCCCAGTCATAAGTTTGTTCCAGGAAAACCTAATATTCAGTATTAATGAATGTTTCATTCACAGCGTTGCGTGTGAGGCATGCATCCGTGTGTGCGATGATGGCGCAATGGTGGTGGTACGGTATGGGCCGTGTGAGGCAGGCATCAGATAACGTGTCAAGGATACTGCAATCCAGTTGACTTCCGTAACACCACACCACATTTACTTGCTCTCTTTAATTTTTATAAACACATAATAAAAATGTATAAAGTAACTGTACATACCTGTGTAGTATTTAGACAGCTTAAATATTTTTTTACAAAATCTTATAATTATTTTTTTCCTTAATTTACAGAACAATAAAATATTATAGATAGGGTATTAAAGAATTTTATTTCAAATTCTATATTCACAGGTGCCCCAGAAACCTATCCTTCGCGAATGTTGTGGTACTAGTGTAATAAATTTTAATGAAAAAATCTTACTCGACCCCAGATGAGTTATTGCGTGGTATTAACTTCCTGGTGCTTTATTGACAGTGTGGTCACTACCAACTGGCCTTTGGCCCTCTCCATGGTGTATTGGTGTGACCCACATGATGATTATAAAAAGGAAAGAAGCTAACAGTATTTTTGGCCACTGGAACCTATTTATTTCCATTTAAATCATGGGTTCAGTACCAGACGACATTGTGAATTATAATTAAATTGATTTAAATACAAATAATTAGTTTGGTTCCAAAGGCCCCAAAATACCCACAAGTTGTTCCAAACCACCTTTAATAAACATTAAATATCATACATAATGCATAAAGAATACAGTAACACAAAGATACTGTACAGTATTGTACAAAAGGTACACGGAGTTCTATTTTATATAAACAGCTTCTTTCCTTCTCATTAATCATCCTCTGGGTGACACCAATACACAAACATTGAGACAAGCAGATGCCGGGACTTGCTGGCTGGTCACTGCTGTTCATGCTACATAAACGAAGCACTAGGAATTTAATACAACTCAATAACTCATCTGGGGATGTATGTGGAAATTTTTTATTTTTTTATTTTTTATTTTTTTTTGTGTGGGGGGGGGGGGTTGATTCATAATTTTACGATAATGTTTTATTAACCCGGCACCAAAGAACCTAAATATGGTAATACAGGAATAATAGTGAAATTGCATACTGTCGTTATAAAATGGCCGGGGTGGAGAATTTCCATTGAGTTCAGCCAGCCACCTGCCCTATCTCCCTCACACAGAATTCACTTAAGGTTTTCAGTTATGCCAGTAAGAAAAATCACCATAAAATCTCAGTTGCAGTAGAAATAAAACTGAAGAAATCTGCAACATGTTGTGAAGCAATAGACTTATTAGCTCCCAGTACTACAGTTTCTTTCTTACACATTCTTAAGGACTATAACTGCTTGTGGGGCAGAAGGCCACCCTTCATGTTTTTGATACATCGGCCTTAAATTGAAGGCTTCCTCGGGGTATAAACCCTCAAACCTTCAGCAGGTATATTTACATGTCATCCTAGACAAGCTTAGGTTATAAAAGAACTCATAAACAAAGATATTGTACCTGAGCAAACGGGTTTGCAGCAGAGAGCTGTATTGATGGGGGAACAGCCTGTGGCATTCCATTGGCAAAAAATGGGTTAGGTATGCCTGCTCCACCTCCTGCCACACCACCCTGCAACAAAATAGGTACTGTACTGTACACACATTGAACTGATGAGACACATTAAATCCATAAGTGGTTAGATTAACTTTGAATAGTTACATATGAAATTTGAGTGGGTTATGTATGTAATTTGAGTGGGTTATGTATGTAATTTGAGTGGGTTATGTATGTAATTTGAGTGGGTTATGTGTGTAATTTGAGTGGGTTATGTGTGTAATTTGAGTGGGTCATGTATGTAATTTGAGTGGGTTATGTATGTAATTTGAGTGGGCTGTGTATGTAATTTGAGTGGGTTATGTATGTAATTTGAGTGGGTTATGTATGTAATTTGAGTGGGTTATGTATGTAATTTGAGTGGGTTATGTATGTAATTTGAGTGGGTTATGTATGTAATTTGAGTGGGTTATGTATGTGAATTGAGTGGGTTATGTATGTAATTTGAGTGGGTTGTGTGTAATTTGAGTGAGTTGTGTGTGTAATTTGAGTGGGTTGTGTGTGTGTAATTTGAGTGGGTTATGCGTGTAATTTGAGTGGGTTGTGCGTGTAATTTGAGTGGGTTGTGTGTGTAATTTGAGTGGGTTGTGTGTGTAATTTGAGTGGGTTGTGTGTAATTTGAGTGGGTTGTGTAATTTGAGTGGGTTGTGTGTAATTTGAGTGGGTTGTGTGTATAATTTGAGTGGGTTGTGTGTAATAATAATATATATATATATATGTAATTAAGTTTATTAGAAAGGCTTGAAAACTGAAAATATAGTTGAATTACAAATAATACAAGTAACATATGTGACACAAATAAGACATATAATAACTAGGTAGAGCTCAAACTACAGTTCATTTCAACATAGTGACAGTGTAAGGCAGTGTTTGCACAGGAGTGAATACTGATTTATTACAAGTTATTGATAAAATGGTTGGGACTGGGCTGTTCTTATAGCGATCAGTTAGGTGCATTATGGGCTGGATCTTGGTTGAGGTGTCGAACAGCAATTCTCACAAGGGATCTCAGGTGGTAGTAGGAGCCGATATGGGGATGGTGTAGAAGCTTCTTACCAAATTTGCAGATGAGGGTCGTGGTGATGGTCAGTGAGAGTCAGAAAGGGTCAGTGTGTTGGCTTCTTGATATGTGGAGTAGGAAGGAGAGAATAATCTTATGCCCTCTTTTTTCTAGGTAGAGAGGTGTGTGTGTGTGTGTGTGTGTGTGTGTGTGTGTGTGTGTGTGTGTGTGTGTGTGTGTGTGTGTGTGTGTGTGTGTGTGTGTGTGTGTGTGTGTGTGTGTGTGTGTGTGTGTGTGTGTGTGTGTGTGTGTGTGTGTGTGTGTGTGTGTGTGTGTGTGTGTGTGTGTGTGTGTGTGTGTGTGTGTGTGTGTGTGTGTGTGTGTGTGTGTGTGTGTGTGTGTGTGTGTGTGTGTGTGTGTGTGTGTGTGTGTGTGTGTGTGTGTGTGTGTGTGTGTGTGTGTGTGTGTGTGTGTGTGTGTGTGTGTGTGTGTGTGTGTGTGTGTGTGTGTGTGTGTGTGTGTGTGTGTGTGTGTGTGTGTGTGTGTGTGTGTGTGTGTGTGTGTGTGTGTGTGTGTGTGTGTGTGTGTGTGTGTGTGTGTGTGTGTGTGTGTGTGTGTGTGTGTGTGTGTGTGTGTGTGTGTGTGTGTGTGTGTGTGTGTGTGTGTGTGTGTGTGTGTGTGTGTGTGTGTGTGTGTGTGTGTGTGTGTGTGTGTGTGTGTGTGTGTGTGTGTGTGTGTGTGTGTGTGTGTGTGTGTGTGTGTGTGTGTGTGTGTGTGTGTGTGTGTGTGTGTGTGTGTGTGTGTGTGTGTGTGTGTGTGTGTGTGTGTGTGTGTGTGTGTGTGTGTGTGTGTGTGTGTGTGTGTGTGTGTGTGTGTGTGTGTGTGTGTGTGTGTGTGTGTGTGTGTGTGTGTGTGTGTGTGTGTGTGTGTGTGTGTGTGTGTGTGTGTGTGTGTGTGTGTGTGTGTGTGTGTGTGTGTGTGTGTGTGTGTGTGTGTGTGTGTGTGTGTGTGTGTGTGTGTGTGTGTGTGTGTGTGTGTGTGTGTGTGTGTGGGTTATATATATATTATTAGGGGGGCAGTGAAATTTGCTCAAAAGCTGCACT